TCGGAAACCCAAGGAGGGATCACTAGGAGTCGGGGCCGACTCGATGGCAAATAACAACAAACAACAACCCAAGACATGGTGTTTTCAATCGCTTCATATGCATGTGAAAGCTGGATAATGAATAAGGAAGACTGAAGGAGAGTTGATGCTTTTGAGTTGTGGGGTTGGCCAAGAATACTGAAAGTACCCTGGACTGCCAGAACAGATCTGTCCTGGAAGAAGTACCAGCCAGAATGCTCCTTGGAAGCAAGAATAGCCAGACTTCGTCTCACCTGCTTTGGTCTTGTTATCAGAAGGGACCATTACCTGGAGAAGGATATCATGCTTGGTAAAGTGGAGGATCAGTGAAAAAGGGGAAGACCCTCAACAAGATGGATTGACACAGTGGCTGCAACAGTGGGTTCAGGTATAGCAAGGATTATGAGGATGGAGCATGAGCAGGTAATATTTCATTCTATTGTATGAACTGACAGTGAACAGGTGGTCATTATGGGTTGGAGCCTACTCAATGGCACCTAACAACAACAACCTCAAGGTGGCTCTTATTACTGCCTGGAAGTCATACTGGTTTGCCTACTCCATTTATTCTGTCACTCTTCTTGATGATTGTGTCATATATTCTCTCTTCTCACTTCCCATCCTTCAGCCAACAACCTGGTATCTGTGCTCACAAAACAAAAAAGCTGAAACAGAGAACTTCTGTAACTATTCACCTTTCAGTGCCTGTACCCTGTTCTTTGTCATCTCTTTACTATTATATAGATCAATTCTTCGTGCTTCTATGAAGTCCAGATCCTCCATGCAGGTTTTAGATGGCCTGTTCTCAACTCTGAAATGCCTTGCTACAGTAAACTTTCACCTTTCTCACCTATCAGTTTTCCCTCTACTAGATCATTCCAAGAAGCTCTGGTAGCATAGTGCCTAAGGCACTTGACTGCTAACCAGAAGTCTGGCAGTTCAAACCCACCAGCCACTCTTCAGAAGGAAGGTTGGGCAATCTACTTCTGTAGTGATACTACCTCGGAAACCCAAGGAGGGGTCGCTATGAGTCAGGGCTGACTCGACGGCACATAACAACAACAGATCATTCCAAGGAGCTCTGGTGGCATAGTGCCTAAGGCATTTAACTGCTAACCAGAAGGCTGGTGGATCAAACCCACCAGCTACTCCTCGGAAGGAAGGTTGGATGATCTACTCCCGTAGTGATACTGCCTCGGAAACCCAATTAGGGGTCGCTATGAGTCTTATCTGACTCGACAGCAGTGCGTTTGGTTTTGGTTTTGGTAGATCATTCCAAACAAAATGCTGTTTTTTAACAAATGTAAATTTTTTCCCCTAAATTTCATTTATTCTGTTGCTGAGAATATACAAAGCAAAACATGTTTGTACATGTACATTTCACACTGATTGCATTCTTTGAGTTGTGCAACCATTCTCACCCCCCTTTTCCTAGTTGTTCCTCCTCCATTAACATAAACTCACTGCCCGATAAGTTTCTTATCTAATCTTTTGAGTTGCTGTTGTCAATTTGATCCTATATAGATAGTTCTTAAAAGAGCCAAAAGATCAAGGAAGACTTTTTTTTAATAGTTTACTGCCTTTTTTGTTTTTACTAGTTAAGCTAAACTATTGTTTTGTTTTGAGAAGACTTCAAGGGATATTTTTGCTTTCAGGTTCTTAGGGCAGTAGTTTCAGGGCTTCATCTGGCCCCACCATGGCTCTAGAAAGTTGGGAGTTCATGAGGATTTTTATTTTGTTCTGTATTTTTCCCCCTTTTGAATAGGATTCTCCTGTGGAATCTTTGATGGAAATGTGCAGTAATGATAGCTGGGCCCCATCTAATTCTTCTGGTCTCATGGCAAAGAAGGCAGTTTTTCATGGAGGCAATTAGCCACATATTATTCCATCTACTCCTATTCCTGACTATCCTCTGTTGCTCCAGGTGACTACAAACTGATTGTTATGCCTTAGATGGCCTCTTGAAAGCTTTTAAGACCCTAGGCACTACTCTTCCAACTGGGAGATAGACAGAAGTACTAAACACATTATTAGGCCAATTAACTAGGATGTCCCCTAAAACCATTGACCCTAAACCTCCAAACTAGAGAATCAAATCCCATGAGGTATTTGTACATAAGCAGCCTTGTTGTTGTTGTTATGTTGTTATTTGCCATCGAGTCGGCCCGACTCCTAGCGACCCTTCCTTGGGTTTCCAAGGCAGTTATCACTACGGAAGTAGGAATGCCCAACCTTCCTTCGAGGAATGGCTGGTGGGTTTGAACCGCCAGCCTCCTGGTTAGCAGTCAAGTGCGTTAGGCACTATGCAACAACAACAACAACAAGCAGCCTTAACAGCTACTGTTTTTCCCATCATTGTTGTAAATATATCTGTCATACATTTGCCAAGTAAAAATAAACAACAAATGTTGATGAGGATGTGGAGAAATTGGAACTCATACCCATTGCTGGTGGGAATTCAAAACAGAATGTTTTCTGTTATAGAAAACAGTCTGAAGTTTCCTGAAAAAAAACTGAAAATATAAGTATCATATGACCTAGCAACTTCACTCCTAGGTATATATGTAAAAGACTTAAAGTAGAGACAAAAAGAGACTTGCACACCAATGTTATATACTATTCATAATAGCCAAAAGGTGGAAGCAATTTAAACACCCATCAAGAGATGAGCAAAATGTGATATATACGTATAATAGCATACTACTTTGCTAGTAGGAGAAATGAAGTCTTGGTACGTCCTGCAGTGTGGATGGAGCTTGAAGACTTTATGCTGAGTGAAGTAAGCCAGTCACAAAAGAACAAATATGTGACCTCAGTTATATAAAAAGGGAAAAAGAAGCAAATGTATACAGGCAAAAGTTTATTAGTGGTTACACAGGGGCAGGAGGGAAAGGGAAGAGGAGGATAAACAGTGATGGAAAAACTGCATTGATTTAAGGTAGGATTGCACAGCCAAGTATATTATAATTGCTGTTAAAAAAAAAATACATGAATCTAATCAACTATGGGAACCATCAGTCATAAGAAATCAGAAGGGCAGCATTTATACAGGGAGAAAACTAGGGAGCCAGAGGTGCATAGGCAAGAAAGGCACAGGGAAAGGGTAACCACAGGGAGGGAGTGGAAAGAGAGCTGTTGCATTCTAGGGATTATAATCAGTGTCACAAAACAAAAATGTATATGCACTGTTGAGTATAAAACGATTCTACTTTGTAATATTTCACCCAAATCACAACATAAAGTTCATAAATAGATAGGTAAAGAGATAGATCTTAATCCCACTTCCTCTTCTACTTATTGCTATTTTTGTTTCCTTGAAAGAGTTGTATGTACTTTCTCCAATTCTTCTATACTGCTTCTATAGTTGAACCTATTCTTATGCCCATCACTTCACCAGAATTGTTCTTGTCAAAGTAACCAGTGACATCGGCATTGCCAAATCCAATGGTCATTTCTCCATCTTCATCTCATTTGACCTATCAGCAACCTTTGTTATAATTAATCACTGCCTACCTTGGAACATTGTCTTCCAGGACACTACATTCTCCTGGTTTTCTTCTACCTCAGCTAGCAATTCCTTCTTGTTCCCTTTTGCAGGTACATCTTCATCTCAACATGCTCTTAACATTGGAGTGCCTCAGTCCCTGAACCAATTCTCTAATTAGATTGGATCTTTGGTGAATCTTACTCAGCCTAGCCTCATGATTTTAATTAAGTGTGTGTGTGTGTGTGTGTGTGTGTGCTGCTTCTCCAATCAGAATGAAATTTTCCATGAGAACAGAGAATTTTTATTATTTTGATCTCTACTGTGTTTCCAGTACTACGAAGAATGCCTGGCAAATAGTAGGCATTTAATAAATGTTGAATGAATGAATGAATGAACTGTAATATTCTGCCTATAAACCAAGCCTGTTTCCTCTTCCTAACTTGATAGAACAAAACAAAGTTTAACCAAATATTTCTTGATTAATATAAATGTCCTTGAAACACATTCTCTTAATGTGAACAGAGTATGAATTGGATATTCAGCATATAGCCCCCAATATTAAAAGTTTTAGATAACTTTTGTTGGTGACCCACTTTGGGTTTTTATCCAGCATGTCAGGATATATATTTTATAGCACTAGATATTTTTGGTTATATGTCATATTAAGGGTGGTAGTGGTAGGGAATTGTCCTTGAATTTTACAACACATTCCAAGAAACCGGATAGCAGAATCTCACTAAACAAATGGACTCATCAGAAATAATTGGTGAAGAAAAGAGAAGCTGACTTGATGGCAGAGGTTCTTGGTTAGACCCTAGTTCTGACAATAGCTGTTACTTTGGCCAACTTCTTTGAACCTCATAATTCCTCACCAATTAAAATTACTGTTAGGATTAATTCAGCTTTAAAACCTGATACTACTACTGAATACACAGGCAGAATTCTATCCCAGAGCTACTACTGGCATTAGCCAGATTCCTTTCTGTGTCTTGTTCACCTGAGGAACTGATATGAGTGATTTGTGACTTGACAGAGTAACATTATAGTGCATCTGTAGCTCAAATGGGTGAGAGTACTGGACTGCATTCTTGCCCTCATATTCCCTGACCTATAATTTTTGTGTTCAATTTTTACCATAATCTTAATTCCTGAGTACTTAATGTTTGCTATCAAATGCAATTAAAGTTAAACTGGTTAAAATGCAACTACTTTAAATAAATATCAAGATATTATACAGAAATTGAATATATCTTTACTGAAAGACAAAACATGTTTTGTCTGGCTGTATGTTGACTTAAGAATATTTTTTACTCTTACAAATGAAATATGTCTTTGTGTGGTTTTGTTAAAATTTTTTTTTTCCTGTTAGGGTGCATCCGAGAAAGACATCGTGCATTCTGGCTTAGCTTACACTATGGAGCGTTCTGCCAGGGTATGTGTGCAGATGCTGTTTGCATTTCTGCTAGTTACATGACGTACAACTCAACCTAGTATTATCTCAGCTGCCAGATTGTGTGTATGGTGATAGAGAAGAGCAATCTGTTTAAATGTTCCTCATTTGTGGATAGCAAAACACATGCTTCTTTAGTTTTAAATGACAAGCAGTGCTTCGTCTTCAGGATCTTTAAATACTTGTGCCTGTTCTTTAAAAATAAATAGTAATGCCAAGTTAAGAGGGAGTAGCATTGGGTAGTTAGCTAGATAACAAGCAGTTAGCCAAACTAGATTGTTGCTCAGTGTGTTACCTTATTGCTACAGGAAACTATACTACCATGGAACTTGGTATACATAAAAAATTTTTGACCACCTATGACCTTGATTTCAAAGCCTTAAGCACAGTTTGAGTCCAGTTTTCCTTAATTTCTTCTTGTGTTCATAATCTCCCCACCTGGATTTAAGTTAAAACAGTATATAAACTGATGTTGATGGGAAAAAAAAGTTGGTGCTTCTTAGGGTTTTTTTGTTAACTTATATTGCAATATAATTCACCTACCATAAAACTCGCTTTTTTAAAGTCTGCAGTTTGTTGGATTTTAGTATATTCACAAGGCTATCTAATTCCAGAATATTTTCATCATTCTGTTCTTTGTTTGTTTGTTTGTTTGTTTTACAAAATCACAGAATACATTAAATTAACTTGTACCAGACAACGAGAAAGTGAAAGGACATAGAAACAGCTCACACCTAAAATTTGAAAGAGTAACTTGTTTCTGTTGCATAGATAGTAAACTTTCTGTTGCCTAGACAGTAACCAGTGTTAAATCCAGAGTATTAATACTTCCTGACTAGAGTTTGTTGTATTCTGGCTATCCTGCCCTCCATGGAAATGGTGACAGGATAACTGGTCCCAGACCCATGTATGCCTCGTGTATGTGCTGCCTGGCTGCTAGAGTTGAGGTGATCATCACTACATCTTCTCCTTCATTTCAGCAAATCATGCGCACGGCCATGAAGTATAACCTGGGGTTGGACCTGAGGACTGCTGCTTATGTCAATGCCATAGAGAAAGTCTTCAAGGTATACAATGAAGCTGGTGTGACCTTCACATAGATGGATTGCAGCTGGCTTCTCCACTACCCTCTTCACTTGTAACTTCTGCAAACCTATCACAAGTTTACATGTTAACACAGAAATCTCTTTCTCTTATGACTTAGTAGATAATGAACACCATTCTCAACAAGTCATTTCAAATTAGCTTTGTATAAAGAAAGAAATGAAGGTGAGGTGATGATGTACAGGCTGATATGTATGAAGGTAGAAATCATCCATGCCAGAAGGCCACTTGGGGTATTTTGTCTTTGAATAGAAAGTCTCTTCCATCTGGCTTTGCTTCCCTGCTCCGTGACTGCATCCCAACATGTTAGTTACTGTTGTTTGGGGTAAGCTTCTGTTGTCCAAGAGCAGCCAGTGGCTTGCATTCTTTCACTTTGACACATTTAAGAAGTAGGCATGTGACATTTTCAGAAGGTGGCATAGTCCTAAAGTGAGTTACTACATTTCACATCAGCAAAATAACTCAGTTTTGCAGGTTGCAAACAAAAATAAAATCTGTTTCTCTTTATGAATTTATTCTTTTAGAATAAAATAACTACATGCTGCTCTAATAAAATTGCCTTGAATCACTTAACAAACCTAAGCTTTACTCAAAGCAGAGAATTCTATAAACATAAATGAAAAAACTAGTATTTTTATAACATAAAGCTGTATCATTTATAGCTTATCAGTTGTGTATTCTTGTCCAGCAAAAACAAAGCCAGATGGAGAATTAAAGTTATCTTCATAACTGCAGATCATGCAGGCTATTTTTGTTGAGACTATCTGAATTTGCTAACTGTGACACAGTCCAAAGAATGCAATAACCTTCTAATCATGTTAATTAATTTTTCTCTTCTTTTAAGGACCTATCATGTTGACTGATTGAACAATAATTCAAGTAGAATATCACAGAAAAATAAACACTTAGTTTCCCTGTTTGGAGTCTTGCTGGTGCCTCTTGCCAGTGGTCCCAACTTGGACCAGTTTTGCATCCCTCTTCTCTTAGAGGCCTCATGCTCTGCCCACAAGCTTAATTAACAAAGTGTGACTAAAAACATCCTTCCTTTGAGTGTTGTGTTGGGAGTTGTTTGGCTAGGACCTTTTGAAAAGTAGTTCCCAATGAAATGCTAGATATTATTTATGTAATGACTGAATGCCTTTTTTTAAAAAAAAGTAATAACCTTTCAGAAATTTCTAACTACTTTGTTACTGCATGACTTAACCTGGTGATAAAGCAGTTATTAAAAGTCTACCTTTTCCAAAGCTTATGTTTCTTTTCTGTGTTTTATATTTGATAATGTCTCTTTTAATAGATGATAAAACTACATTTGGGTTTCTAAAATTTTTGTACTACCACCTACCTATCACTTCTATTCACTACATTGTGAGCTGCTTTTAAATGTCCCAAACTTTATTTTTGAATTCTCTTATGTTTGTTTTATTAAACAATATTAATGGCTGTTGTTGGGGAAGAAGGCCTAATGCTAAGAGTTGATATACTAGGATAATTTTTAGTGCCCTTTTTTGATGAAAGGAGAGTTCTTTTAGGTTGTTGCATTTAGTTTTGTTTTTAATTTTAAAATGTCATTATTCATTTGTGTGGTAAATACTGCCCTCTACTAAAAAATAGTGATATTTGTCTTTCAGTTTGTCAAGCTTAAAGTGTTCATATGTCTCTTTTCTATATCCATCTATTAATATAGAAAAAAATATTTATGTATTGATATACAGGAGCTGGTGGTACTGTGATTAAAGCATTAGGTTGCTAATTAAAAGGTTGGTAGTTTGAACTCACTAGCCACTCCATGGGAGAAAGTTGAAGCAGTCTACTTTCATAAAGACTGACAGCCCTAGAAACCTCATGGGGCAGTTCTGCTCTGTCCTGTAGGGTCACTATGAGTCTGAATCAAGGTGGCAGTGGGTTTGGGTTTTTGGTTTTTTTCTTTTGTTTTATTTGATACTGATATAGGAAAACAGATTTTTTTTTTAATGTATTGACATGATACATGAAAAGTCAGTTTAATAGACATTATTAAATAACACATATGCAGAATCTTGGGTAAATGTTTAAGATTATAGATGAACATTAAGTGTGGGCACATACATATTACATGTAAGACAATGGGTTTAACAGAAGATGTACTTGCACTGGTTTCTGGTAACCAAACATCCTTTCTGTAAATCTTAAAATACCCAGTTTCAAATGTACCAGCTCCTGAGCAGGGCATTTTCTTTTTGAAGTTTTTCCAGCTGATTTTTATTTTTAATAATTGAGCCACAGAATATAACAGCTACTTAAGATAGAATACTAACCATAGTCAGCAGAACCAGTTCTAGACCTCATTCTGCAAATTACTTAGCTGTCAAACCTGGAGCCTACCTTTGAACTGGTCTCTGTTTAGTCACAGGACTGCCTCACTGTGATTCTGAGAATCAAATCAGTTGAAGCCCCATGTACCCAGTGAGCATGTCTGTTGCCACTCTACACGGAAGTCCTAAAATATGTTGGAGGGAGAATGATACAAAAAGTTCTCAAATATTAGGAGCAATACTGGGTAGGGTATTAGATTCAGATCTTATGAAAATGGGGTGATAAGTCAAAGTCTGTGGTCTACTTGGTTCCTGGAATTTTGAGTTAGAAAATTCTGCTTAATTACTCCTTTGGTTTAACTGAAATTTTCCTCAATTTTTATACTTCTAAGAAAGGAAACTTACACATAATGTACTCTTATTTGCCTTTCTCATATCCATAGAGGCTTGAGCATCACCTGAAGAATGTTTAACTTGTCTTAGGAGACGCTACACCAAATATATTCTAATAACCCTGATCATGATCAGTTTAAATTTAGAGAGGTGAGAAGTACAGTGACAGCTGTGACAGCAAAAACTCAAGAGACTACCTTTTTATGGGGTTTCTACCTTTGACAGGATGCAGTCTTAACACTTTTCTATCTCTTGCTTTAGTGGAAAATATTTGAATTTTCCTTCTCTGACAGGTTTGTACCTTATAAAGATTCTAGCTTTCACAGGTATTGCTGATAAACCTTGACTTTTTTTTTTTTTTTTTTTTTTAACAGTACATAGTAGCTTCAACAACTCCATTACTGGGATTGGTGATTTCCTTTTTAAATGCTGGCATCTTAACGCCACATTTTCCTAAACATCCCTAGCAGGCATTCCTTAACATTACTCTGCATTGCTGTTAGGTGCTGTGAGTTGGCTCCAACTCAGAGCAACCCTGTGTACAACAGAATGAAATATTGCTTGGCCCTGCACCATCCTCACAATCCTTGCTATACTTACACCTATTGTAGCCACTGTGTCAATCCATCTCTTTGAGGGTCTTCCTCTTTTTTGCTGACCCTCTACTTTACCAAGCATTATATCCTCCAGAGGAGCTCTGGTAGCATAGTGCCTAAGGCACTTGACTGCTAACCAGGAGGCTGGAGGTTCAAACCCACCAGCCACTCCTCGGAAGGAAGATGGGGCAATCTACTTCTGTAGTGATGCTGCCTCAGAAACCCAAGGAGGCGTCGCTATGAGTCGGGTCTGACTAAACGGCATATAACAACAACAACATATCCTCCAGAGACTCTCCTTTCTGACAAAATGACCAAAGTAGGTGAGACAAAATCTGGCCATTCTCACTTCTAAGGAGCATTCTGCCTGCACTTCTTCTGGGACAGATTTGTTCATTCTTCTGGCAGTCTGGTATTTGCAGTATTCTTCACCAACACCACAATTGAAAGTCATCAGCTTTTCTGTCTTCCTTATTTCTTATCCAGATTTCACATGCATATGAGGCGATTGAAAATGCCATTGCTGGGTCAGGCGCATCTTACTCTTCAAAGTGACATCTCTGGTCCTTAATACTTTAAAGAGATCTTTTGTTGCAAATTTGCCTGCTCCAATACATGTAATTTTTGTTTGTTTGTTTGTTAATTTGTTATTGGGATTTGGATACAAATTTACAAAACAGATTAGTTTTACTCTCAACAATTGAGCACATTTGGTTTCATGGCCCCAATTTCAATCCCAACAATGAAAAGCTCTCCTACCTATGACTACCCTTTCCCTGTGTCCTACCTATGCATTCCTATTTGTCCAGCTTTCCCTTTATGCAAATACTGCCCTTCTGATCTCTCAGGGTTGATTTCTCTGAGGGATGCATCTCCCTAGGGTAGGTGTTCTGCTTGTAGGCCTTTGTACTATTTGGCTGAAAGCTAATCCTCAAAACTGAATCCAGTTCCAGGCCTGAAAAATAACACAGGCTGGGGTCATAGTCTTAGGATCCCACCAGTCTTTTTCTGACCAGTAATTCTGGTCATTTTTGTGTTTTTAAATTTTTTTCCTTCCCACTTGAAAGCTTTTAAAACCTTAGTCACTACTCACCAAAGTAGGGTATAGAACAAGATTTTTATGTAATGTGTTGTGCCAGTTGAGCTTGATGTCCCCCGAGACCATGATCCTGAGCCCAAAGGCCACTCCCTCAAGGTGCTTGTCACTGAGAAGCTATTCCAACCTTTTCCCCTGTTCTATAATGTATGCAGATATCTTTGTAGCACAAATAAACATGTAAGAATATCATCCATATCTGTCTGTGGTCATTGGTTTAATCCCATTCACCAACCCACACCTGATCTCATCTGTCTGTGCATCCACCTGTAGACTAATGTTTGTTACTAGTAATACAGTATTGTGAGTATCATAGTATTTGCCTGTTTTCTAGTATCTCTTTTGGGCGTTTCCGTGTCCTCCTTTGCCCTGTTGTTATTGTACTGGTCACACACATTTGTTATATTGCTGTCCCTTCACCCAAATAAATACATGACTCTTAACTAGTCAGAAATTTTGTTGGTAACCAACAAAGTAAATTTCCTTACCTGCATAATCCTTTCTTTGACATTTTATAATAATGGAGTCACACAGTATTTGTCCTCCTGTGATTGATTTATTTCACTCAGCATAATGTTTCCTAAGTTCATCCACATTATGAGGTGTTTTGTGGATTCTTTTTTTTTTTATTAGGATTTGGGTGAAGATTTACAGAGTAAATTCACTTTTCATACAGCAGTTCACATATACTTTGTCTCATGTC